CGATGACCGGGCTATTGGCGTGTCCCGGGTAGTTTGTGCTGTTGGCTTTGTGGAGAATCTTAAAAAGAGAAAAAGTGAGAAAAGAACAGGGGAGAAAGGTTAAGAGCATGTTCTTCTTTATTCTGTAAGTGTTGTGGACACACACACACACACACACCAGCAGACATCAGCCTTGAGATCTGTGTGTGGCTACAGTCTGTGTTTTGGTGTAAACAGTTGGGCCATTCATGCCATCCAGCCTTAAGAATGTGTGCAAGAAGAGAAGAAGAGGAAAAAAAGAAAAGAGAGAGATGGGGGTGGGAGGTGGTGGTGGGAAAAGAAACATGCACAGACGTAGATAGAGTTACACACTCGTAATCTGAACAGAGAAACTTCTCTGTGTCACATATTAAAGTTATAACTCACTTCTTCTTTGACATAATTCAGCGACACCTCAATATTTTCCGTGTTGTTCGCCCTCAAGATTTAGAAAAGTTAGTTTTATCATGTGTGTGACTCGTGTCCTTGAGTTCGGCCTCTGGTCTCCACGTCTTGGCTAAAAGATACTGAATACAATGTCGTGTTTCCTCACTCCTCTTGTTTTTTATCGTGTTGATTTTCTTGTGCTGGCGGGACATGAAGTCATCGCTGCAGGTGTCTCCGTCAGACTCTGGATCTTGTAGTGAAGCACAACAAAGGTTTTTTTTTACTGTTTCTGTGGCGACATATCTCGTTATGTTTGGAGTCTGTTGAAGAGATTTTGCAATAAATTCTATTGTCTCTGTCTTCCTGGGCACCTTGTGTTAGTTAGAGAGACATGTGGACATTATCAGCATTAACCTGTCCCATCGTTATCTGTGCTCACTGGGAACAGTTCTTGTTTCCACCATGATGAAGAGAGATGGTGCAGGTGGTGGTGGATGAAATAGGATGAATATGCATTTTGCAGGAAACTTTGAAAATTGTCATGAATTGTCCCCAAACTTGACAGAAATATATTTTCAGGTTATTTTGAGGGTGAACTCTGAAGGGACACACCGAGCTGGGTGGTCTGGGGAGAGAGGATCACATAAAGGTTTGGGTTCCAGGCCAGGTTAGTCATACATATCCAGACGTATCTCCACAGAGCTGTGTGGTCTGAAAAAAAAGCTCAGGCTTGTTTTTTAAACCAATCACAAGCATCTTGGGCACTAAGCCCAGGATGCAGTGACCGTGTCCCTGCTAAACAGTGTCGGGGGAACTTGTTTTAGTGAAACATTTGCATCAGAAAACTTTAAAATCAGTAAAAGACATTTGTCTATATGTGTGACAGTCTTTTCTGCAGCCAATGGGATGTATATATTCTTAGAGTTTCTTCTTTTACTGACTCTAATCTCAGAATCTGTGGCCTCTTAATTTTGGTTATTTTAATTATTTCTAATAACTAAACCAAATCTTTCAACAGATTTTCTGATAGATATTCTTCACACTGTGTTGTCTTGACGTCAGGAGCTCACTAAGGTTACGTTCACTTCACGCTCCAGTAGCTCGTCCTGGACAGTTGGAAGAATCTGGTTTATTTCATGTGATCAGTAACTATTGTTCAACAACCAGCAGGTGAGGGGTTAGCTGTTAACTTTACCTTAGGAGGTGAGAAAGAGGGACTGTAGGCGGGGGAGCCCCTGCAGGTCTGAGGCCCGCCCTCTGTCCATCCTGGACTACGTAGACTAGCGTAGTCCGTCACGTCGCTGACCTGCTGCTGCTGCTTCCACCCTGATGAGGAGCAGAGAGATGAGAACAGGGTGAGGGTGGGAGGCAGAAAATGAGATCCAGACAGATTATAACCAGACACGTAATCTGTGAAATGAACTATGCACCAAGAGTTATGTCTGAAACACAACACTAAAGAGTATTGACACCTTGTTATGACCATCCTAACAAAGTAAAGGTGATGACAGCGCGTGTGTGCCTGACAAACAGCTCATATCCGTGTGTTTATCAGCAGATCGTAGCTGCTGTCATCGGGGTCTGTGTGACCAGATGTTGGAACATCACAGCGTTTCATCGGAAAAACATCTGTTGGAACAATCAGTCCTTCTGTTTTCAGATGTGAGTAGATCATCGCCCCCTGGGCTGGAAGCTGTCCACCCTCAGAAACCCACGCGCGCCTCATACAGACTGTAAATCTCTTGCAAGTTGCCTCCAGTAGATGTTATCCTGCACCAGCATGATGAATTTAACATACGAATAGAAAACAAACTGATGAGCAAAGGCTGTTTTTACTAATATGTCTCTGGGTTGATTGGGGAAAGTTTGCCCTCGGGCCTTTATACCAAACAGAGTCACAATTATCGACATCATTTAAGTCTAAAAATTAAATATATGTCTTTATCTGCTTTGATTAGAATGAGCTCATTAAACCTTGTTCTCTGTTTTTTTTGGTGATGTAGGAGTAAGTCAGACAGAAATGATGGAACTGACTGTCAAGACGAAGAGGAGTGAGATGTCTCCTTCAGTCGATGTATAAGAACGTTAATATTTATTCTTTCGCTTCACTTCGTTATCAAACTACGAAACTTTGGTCCTGATCACCTCCTCAAACTTAACTTGTCCTGATAATACTGATAATTAACTGCAACTGACTGATGGTGAAACGAGATGTGTCGCTGCTACTCTAACGTAATGGAAAGCATTTTAAAAAAGATTTGAAGGACGGACAGAAGTGCAACAGAAGCTGCGTGTAACTGAACACTTCAACAAATAAGAGTATCTAAAACATTAATGAGAAGAAACAGTTTTTAACATAATGGAAAGTTGTCGATCTTTGATAACAGAATCTAAGGAATCTTTATTAGCACTGTTTGATAACTAAGAGTTAATATTTGAGCAGCAGAGACAGCAGAGCAGTAAAAACCATTATCACCTGAGGAGCAACCTTAGTTTAGGGTTAGAGGCTGTTTTCAGGTCCTCGCTCAGATCACCCACATCAATCACGTGACCCTAACAAGTCATAACAGTCCCTCAAGAATCTCCTGTGTTCAGTTGTTTTTGACCAAGAACATTTAAAAAAAAATGGGCAATGTCTCCATCCTGGTTGAAATTTGAAATGTAACTGTGATGGAGACCGTGTTTTTCCAGCTTACAGACATTTTACAGTTGCAGCAAACTCTCAGTTCCAGTTGCAGCCTGGAAACACCAAAAAACATTAAGCAAGAAACCAGCGGCGGTTTTTATCGTGATTCACCACATATGGATAAACAGCAATGAGGAACATTGTGAGCTCATCTTTCGTGGTGAGCATCCATCACCTCAAAAATCACATGAAAGCCCGAACGAGTCCGACTGAAACTAATCCGGTTTCTCTCCCACACCAGAGGGCCTGCTGAGGGAGCCGTCACTGAGGCGTTCACGGGGTTGAGGATCACTTGATACCCACTGTACTCGCTCCTCTCTTTTGAAGCGTGCAGCTCTGAGATGATGAGAAGGAGAGCGAAGGTATGATGCAAACACACGGGCGAGCAAAGTGTTGTGTCAGACTTCAAAAGCATTCCTGATCGCTGACAAAACATCCCCTCGAAAAACACATGTTACAAACGGAGTCAGGCGCTGCGCTGTGAAATGTTGCTGCTTCAAATACGCCCCTGAGGAAATATCAGCCCCACAGCCCCCTGACACACTCGCTGACCCAGACACATACGCACTCATGGTCAATTTCCTGTGCTCTGACTCCACGATTTAAGGAGAACCTGTGATTGACCCAATGATATGCAAAAATGCAGGGTAACCACAGGAGAGGGCAGCTGTCAAGGCCGCTCTCTACGGTCGGGGAGCTCCCACGTGTATCGTCGCTTCGCCACTCGGAGGGTAGAGCAGCTGCTGCGTGCGCGTGAAGAGGTGGGAAGTGATAACGTCACTCGTTAAAAACCTACGACCTGCGGTCCTCAAACAGAAAATCAATCATGTAGCAGAAATGTGCCTCTTCCTCCAGGCTCCCTCCCAGTGGATATGACAGGGAATAAATCTGTCGTGTGCGTCAGCGGAGTGAGAAGAAACAGTGAAGACGAGGCAGCGCTGACACCCGTGGGTCAGGAAAACAGGTGTCGTCCCACTGCGTCTCTGAGAAATGCATTTAACCCTAACTAAAGTGCAACAGCAACGTTCTGCAGGGAACGGAATAGAATTTGGTGGCCAGAGGTCAAAGGTCAAGGTCACATTGAAATATGTACACAGAAACTGCACTGGTTGGCGGAGGCATACAACTGCAGTGTGTTAATTCTAGTTTGACTTGAGTTACTGAGGCTCACCTCTCTTCACGTACCGCCCTCACAGTTTGTTAAAGTTACTTTATTTACCAGGAAGTCTGAGAAAACTTTCCAACAAACACACAGGACACATTCTCTATTCTCTGAGGAAGCTTCTGCTCCGTTACTCTCTCCTCCGTTGGCCTGTCTTAGTTTGTCTTGGGTCATTTTGTCTCTCAGTATATTTCCATTCAAAACACGACAGATTGGACAGTAAACACAACTCTGAGGTCCTGACTTCGCACTGCTTACATAGCAGGAATATCCACTACCTGTTGAATCAAACGCTTCCACCCATTCAGCAAACACCAGCAAACACCATGTACACTCGTAAAACACACAACCTCGGCCACATGTCCTCCTCTCTCTCAGGTGGAGATTTCCACAAACCCTTCATGGATATGAAAGCTTCTCTGTGTGTGAGGAGGCTGAGCCGAGCGCTGCAACAACCAAAGAGCTTCATCTGACACCAGCTTGTTGGCACAGGTGTATTTTTCTTAGCGTTCATAATGTGACAATGTTTGGACTGTTAAAGGAACAGCTCACCTAAAATATACACAGGGTTTCTCACATTTTCAGCACATTTTTAGTCAAAGCTGCCTTTGAATTTTATTAAATGACCCTTTTACTCTATAAACTGATTTACTGAGGTTACCTGACAGATGTGTGTTTCCCTTGTGGCTGAGGCCGTTGGTGTACAGGGAGGCAGAGCGGGACAGGGGGGCACAGCTGTTTGGAACAGGAACAAAAGTTGGATCCAAATCAAGAATCAGCTGGTTCAGCTGCTCTATGGACTCGTCGACGTCTGTGGTCAGCGTTGCCAAATCATCCTCGTGGTGAGATGAACTTTGTGCAGTGTTTTGTGTGACGTGGTGCGCCCGCTCCTCGACCAGCGGTCCTCTCTGCACAGCCTGGCTGCAGCTGATTCCTCGAGGCGGTGTGTTGGGAGCCACCAGAGGCGGCGGCATCTCTGTTCTCTCTCGACTCAACCTCCTCTCCGCACCCATGTCATGGTCATTATCACCAACAACATCTGCCATCTGCTGCTGCCGTACCCAGGAACGTGTTGAGTACAATGAGCAGATACCACTTGAGCTCGGCTTGTCTAAAGCAGAAGCAGCTGCTGCATCTGCTTCGTCCTCATCGTCCAGTATGTCAGTCTCCCTCTCGCTGGATGAAGCCTCTCCGTTGATAGTTTGTCCCAGTCCAAACTCATCTCGAGCCACCTCTACTCCCCCTCCACCGCACGCAGCGAGCTCAGCCATGACCTCCAGAAGAGGCTGAACAATCTCAAAGTCAACCCCAGAGAGCAGCCTCACTGCCTGGGGGCTCTTGTCCTGCACTGGTCCTCTCCTCTGCCCGGCTCTGGTCCTCCCCTGCGAGGTGACCGACAGGCCTGAATCACTGCTGGCGGACGGAGCTCGGTCGCTGCAGCTGGGACTGCTGCTGGTCAGTGGGAAGGAAACTCCTTCCTCACCGCTCTTCTTCCTCACGCCGGCGTACAAGCCGCCATCGAGAACATGGGGTGGAGCTGTGAGGACAGAAACACTGTCAGGTTGACATGTCAACAGAAGAGACACAACCTGTTCAAGATGAAGACGTTGAAGTTCCAGCCTGAGAAACAACAAAACACAGCACATGTGTAACGATAGTGTTGTTTCAGTAAAATCTACTTTTGCCTTCTAGGAGAGTCTTGTGATTTCACCCAACCTGTCAATCAAAATATGAACTAGAGCTCCAACAAGTGATAAATAAATAAAACTAGTGAAGCAGAGCACACTGTCGCTAATTCCGTGACACCACAAACATTTAAAACAAAGGTTTCAATGGTGCTAATTTTATAATTGATTAATCAACAGTAACATGAATCATTTGTCCTAAAAACCATCTGACTAATAGTGAAATGTAAAACCTCTTATTGAACGTATTCCCAGTATGTGTGACTCCATACCTGCACCACTACTGTATATATGATTCATCATGACACACACACACACACACACACACACACAACCTGTTGGATCACTGCCATCACTTCAGACTCACGTAGATAACACAGAGACCCCTTTGTGTGGGCTGGCGGATGCATATATGTGTGTCTGTGTGTGTGTGTGTCACGATAAGGACGTGTCTGTCATGGACGTCTACCTGAGGTCAGACACACAACGACTCTTGCAACACATCAAACACACAATAGAGCTGAAACAATGAATTAATCATAGTTAAGCAACTGAAAACGAATCTTACATCAACATATAACGTTTTGATAATTTTGTGTTTCTTCTCCAGGGAACAAATCAAACATCATCTTGATCTGGTTTCACCACTTTGGAGATTTGCCCCTTTTTCTGTTAAATTATGTGAAAAATCCTTTTAGACTAGTTGGACAAAACTCAAAGATGTCACTATGGGATTTATAAATTTTTAAGAGTAATCTTTAGTTGCAGCTCTAAAACATTCTGCGCAGTAAGATCTTGTAACTAAAAGAGCAGGTTGTCTTCTGATAAAGGACTTGGATCAGATAAACCGTGTACAGTGACTGCAACAATACATTCAGAGCATTCCAGAGCGGTACGAGCACAACCTCTTCAGTCCAGAGAGGCAATAAAAGTCAAATACCAGACACGCGGGGTAAAACCTCACGGCTGCTCTAACAGTTCTCACACACAGAGAGGTGCACGGATGACAAACACATCCACAAACTGATAAACATGCAGGAGAACAGATTCAGCATCAAATAAAAGCGGCTTACTTTACTTCAGCGGCAGTCAGGAGTTAACTTTCACTGATCCCTCTGCAGACTAGAAAACAGGATGGAAACGCTCCTCAGTCAAGAGAAAGAGGAAAAGAGAAGCAGATGACAAGCTGAGGGAGGAAAGAGGGGTGAGGACGAGGACTGAATGAAGAGGATGAAGGGAGAGAGAGAGAGAGAGGAAGAGAGACGACTGGAGAAGAATTTAGGCTGAAGTCTGTGTTTCCCTCTCGAGCTGTGGACCTCTCTGTGTCTCAGGCTGCCACAGGAAGACAAGCAAAGAAAATTCTTTCTCTTAAGGTGCTAACGCCCCCCCACCTCCTCCTTCTCTTCCTCCCCCTGGGTCCCCCTCCCTCCCTCCTTCTAACCTCCCACTCTCTTTCCCCCTTTCTCATGTCACTCCTGCACTCTTTCCTCGCCTGCTCCGTCGCTGCACCGTGAGTCTCCGCCTTCACCGCCACCAAGAAATAAGCCATTGCTCTGCCTCACCCCCTCTCTCCCCATTATCCCTCCCCCCAGCCCTGCATCCTGTCCCGGGCTGACACAGGTAGAGGTGGACGCTGTGGAGAGAGTGTGCGCTCATGCATTTTTAAGTCAGAGGGGAAATCAGCAGAAGGAAACTGAAGGGTGGATCATTCACCAGACTTGCAGGCACATACACACATACACACACACACACACACACACAGGTGGAGGAGTTTGTGTAGCGCACATAATGCACTTTAAAAAACACACACAAAGCACAAGGACCTTGAGCCGGCCAAATATGGAGAGGGGAATGTAAACATGGGGGCGGGCTGCGGAGAGACTTGTGTGCAGAAGGGGGATGGGGGACATGTCGGACAAATTGCAACCTGCAACTTGAACCTGAAAGCAACACGCACAGATAAAGAGAGAGGGAGAGAGAGAGACAGTGGAGGAGATAAAGGGGGAAGAGAAGAAGATGTGGAGATGGAGTGATACGCAGGAGGGAGGGTAGGAGGGGTGTGAGCGGGTTAAAGTAGAACCACCTGTGGTTGAAAAACAACATTCTTGTAACTGGCTGCGTCGCTAACTGCCTGGCACCCTCATTATGCTCATGTGCATGCGTGTGTGCTGGCAGTTAAATGTAATGGCCATGTGTGTGTGTGTGTGTGTGTGTGTGTGTGTGTGTGTGTGTGTGTGTGTGTGTGTGTGTGTGTGTTAACATGCTACTTTTCTGCATTTGTGCCCCAACACTCAGTCTATCTAAATTACATGGCTAGACGGAGCAGATATAGCAATGGCATGAAACAGCTGGAACAGAAACTTCAACCACTGGTTGAAAGTGATTGTTTCAGCCGTCTGGACATGTGTTCTCGTGTTGTTGTTTTCCTCCGTGTGTGTGTGTGTGTGTGGTTATTCCAACTAAACTGAAACTCCTTGGAAAATCAGCCACCTCCACATACACGGCTCTTGGCCTGCTGCTGTCTAGATGATTGTTGTTGCACCCGTTCCCAGAAATGTCAAAGAGGCCTTTGTGGCCACAACAGCTGTAAGCTGTCGCACTGATGATCACACAATTACCCACATGATTGAACCACAGCGACGGCCACAGTCCAAATCTCATCTGCACCCACGGAGGGATACAGCATCCACACAGCAGCCAGAGATACAGTAATAGAGTTATTAAGTCACCTGGGGGAGGAAAATCTTTCGACATTATCACATTGTAAAGTTATTTTTGTTAAATGTTTGCTAGCAGCTGCCGCACGTCCACATACAGAGGATGAGAGAGACATTTACATCCAGTCTAACAGCGTTACATTTCCATGGAACACTGAAATCACTCCAAAGAACATTTGGAGATATGCATCATGTCGTCATATGTTCATTTGTTCAATCTTGACTTTGCTTCTGACTAATCATCAGTGATATAATCTAAAAATCTTCACTTCCGTTTCAGCCCCTTTTAGCAGCTCGTGCACAGACAGAACAAATTAAACTTAAACACAGAAGAGTGAGTTTAACATCATGAAAATAAAACTTTGGAAATTTACAAGCAGGTTATCAGCATATGAAGAAAACAGAGACGTGAGGGAGGAAATGACATTAGAGGTCAGAGTGCGTTGGAGCAGAGCTGACGTGGTTTTCTTTTTAATTCTGCCCAAGTTTAATCACGTCTTAACAATCAGGGAAACCACAGGAATAAAAACCAGAGAAAGGAAGAGAAAGTGAAAGAAAATATCACAGAAATAAAATGATGGCTGGGATTCTGGATCAAATGAAACCACCTCACCTGTTTGAGAGGGAGACGTTTCTCTGAACGAGTCTTGTCTGACCAATGGGTCCAAGGTGTCGTAGTCAACGGTCACAGAGTCGCTGTTGTGCCACAGCTCTCTGCCTGCACATGGAAATAACAAACAGAGCAGCAGACACAGAGGCAGAGTCAGTTAAACAGCAACAACACACACCTACACACTCCTACACACACCTGCAGGGACCGCACAGTAACACCAGAGGATTTTATTCCAGGCTTTGTTCAAATCATAGTTTAATTTTGTCTATAAGTGTGTGTGTGTGTGTGTGTGCGCCCTGGTTTTCCCCGCATGTGTGTGTGTGTGTGTTTCTCCTGTGTTCAGTATCTCAGATCTAAATTCCTGTCAGATGTGTGTGTGTGATAACTGCTCATATTACTTCCTGTTGAGAGGTGAGGAGTGTGATTGTATGTGCGGAGGGGCCAGTTCCAAAGCCGGGCCGCTTCGCCTGGTGTCCAACACTGCCCCCAGCTGGGTGAGGGGTGTGTGTGTGTGTGTGTGTGTGTGTGTGTGTGTGTGTGTGGGGTGGTCTGAGTAATTTCTGTCTCTTCTGCTTCAGTTGAGACTCACAATGGAGTTTGGTGCAGCTTTTGTGCGTCAGCAGCTTTCTGTGGCATAAATATTGTGTCTGTGTGTTGGTACGATGTTTAAAGACGGGGAAGCGTCGTCAGCAGACACAACAGGGGTCATAGACGGGTCACGACATTACTCACAGAACAGGAGAGCGGAAAAATCCTGTGTCTGTCATATGTCATGTGGTTTATCATCCAGTTTTTCTAATTTCCTCAAAACTTTGCGTCTTATGTCTTACTCTCATTTTACTTCTTGATGGGTCGGTGTAGTGTTGAAAGAAAAATCTCCACGACTATCATGAGCTGTTGTACCTCTACCATGAGATTTAGAAAAACTAAATGTTCATGGAATGTTAAAGAGGATCCTCTTGTCTTGTTGCTTTTAGAATAATAAAAGAAATATGAAAACTTGAAGGTTTTTCTGCAAATTCTCGATCAAAGCTTGAAAAACATCTGAAACACATTTCAGATTTATTCTCTGTTGTGTTGTTCACCGGAGTGACGTCTGTTGGCTCTCTCGGCTTCTGTAGCTTCAATCAAACCAAAAAATAAAAATAAATCAAGTTTCGTGCGAGTAAATTTACCTCTAATCTTTTCAGGACTCTCAGAAAGAAACAACTCCACTTTTCCATCGTCTGGGAACCGAGAATCTGGAACATTACGTGAGACAGAGAGAGATCAGACAGGTGAGGTCACTGCAGCCGCTCTCATGAACACCTCACACCTGCTCAGCAGACACAGTCCCAGGTGAGTTCAGGTTAGTTTGCATCAGAGGACGCAGGAGAGACAGACATTTATCAGTTACAGATTAAGAGCAGTGGTGGAGCAGAAACAGCTGAAACAACAGGTGGCGCCGTGCAGAGTACGTCAGCAGCAGCAGGTTGTAATACACAGTAGATACCTTCACTGGCACAGTCCAGGTCGGCCTTCAGGAAAGTGAGCGTGTGTTGGTGCACGAGGCCGGTGTGAAACTGGAGACGGAAGAGGACCTGACGTCGGTCTGACCTGCTGTTTTTATCATAACACACCACCTACAGCCAGGACGTAAACACACACTGTCAACACACTGCTCCACCACGGTCAGGCTGCTTAATGCACAATGATACATCCAATAACCAGAACTAACATTAATAGTATAGTTATAATAATAATAATGATAATAATAAATGATGTCCATTTATTATTAAATTATTGTTATTATTATTCACTATTATTATTAATCAATATTTGTTGTTTACTCTCATTTGTTTTTCTCACAATTATGCATCTATAATTATTTATAGCTTTATTTATAAAGCACTTTTCTCAACAAAGTTACAGAGCTTCACATAATGGATACAATTAAGTTCACAATTATTTATTGTGATTACATGTATTGTACAACACTTTAAAACATATCAGACTTTATAGAAATAAAATAAATTCCAGGCGGTTGACAGTAACCATATTTAACAAAAAGGAATTTTTACTTTGAAATGTCAATGGCTCCTGCTGGGCCCCGGTAATAAATATATATACTTTTATTTTGTGTGATAGGAGTTTTGACAAACTCTGAAAGGTTTAAATGAACTCATCGTACTCTCACCATGATGTCTCCTGTGAGCAGCTGAGCCGGCTGCAGTATAAAGTAGAGTCGGTCCGTCTGTCCTGCAGGAACATGGCTGCAGAGGAGATGACCACACGTTACAGCCCACATCCTGTGTAACCGTGTGTGTGTGTGTGTGTGTGTGTGTGTGTGTGTGTGTGTGTGTGTGTCATGATGCGTTGTCTTTCTTACTAAACTGCTGATGTGCACACAGGCTGGAGCCTCTGGTAGACCCTCAGAAAGAGACAACACCCTGAGAAGAGTTATTAAATGTTAAAAAACATTATTTATAAAATAATTAAAAGCAAAAGACAAACAGACAAAGTTGTGGAGTTTCGGTCGTCAATCCAGAGTCGTAGGAAAATTGAAATGTTAGCACTGCTGAACTGCAGATGAGTGAAAAAGACCTAAAACCAGAGTTTATCTCCAATATTCAACAGGAAACCTTATTAATAAAGAGAATTCCACACAACGTTTTGTGGATTTGTTACTCTGGCAGCTCCTCTGGTTCAGGACGATGGGGATTGTGGGTAATGGTAATAACCAGCGCTCAGTATGAATGTCTCTACATTCATAGTTAGATGTTTTTTTCCTGACATGAACACGATGAGTCGAAACTCAGTCGACCTACGTGACAGACGTGTGCTTCTTTTCTGTAAATGTTCAAATGTTAAGTTTGCAGGAAAAACAACAAAATAAGTGTAGTCAGTAAAATACAGAGGACAAGGACGTATGTGACATATATAATTATAATTAGGACACCTGCTGTTACTCCCTCTAATTCAGATCAGACGTCTTCTGCTTACCTCCATCTGCTCTTATCTTGGGAAGAGAGTACAGAGCAACGCAGAGGAGGAAAGACGAAGACGGACACACCCTCAGTCCTCCTTTCAAAACCCTCGCCAGCATCCACACGTAGCTGCAGAGACAACCATCACAACCAAGTAGCTTTATTATACTGTTTCAGAAGAGAATGAGTCAGGTGAGTAGTGACCTCACAGCCTGGGGTCGATCTACATCACACATCAGAGGCTGGAAGTCCACCAGGTGTTGACCTCTGACCTGTGGCGCTCCGTCCTTACCGTTTCTGCGAGGGGGTCATCAGGCCGGACAGCTTGTCGTTGTAGAACCTCCTCATGGCGAAGTGGTCGAGATAAAGGTCTGCACTGAGGGAGAGGCAGGTTATTCAGACGATGAAGATGATGACGATGCATGCAGCACCAACCCCTCGCTTCACCAGCTTTAAAATTGCACGGTAATGAAACACACACGTCTCAGTTGTATTGAGGAGACAAACTTGAGACTGGACAAATAAACACAAAACTACCTGCACAACTAAAAACCACAACGTTCTTTTGTAGTGTGAGGACACACACACACAATCAGATATTTCTTAACAGTGAGTGACGAACAGTGACACACACACATTCACACTGACAGTTTGGAAACCGACCTGACCTGCACATTTTACTTTCCACTGAAGTTCAGCTGACTGACCTGATACTGGATATGACTAAATGAGGAAGTGTAAAAAACCAAGAGTTATGTAATGATGTACAATAAACTGTAATATTTATAACTTGGCTTGAAAACTAAACTGCAGCTCAGCTCAAAGTCTCTTCATCCGGACCTTAGTCTGGTGGAGACACGTTCAGCTTCTGAAAACTGTGTTTCATTAACGGTTGCATTTTTCAACGTTATTATTTTTATACCATAGATTATATGATATTTGTGATATGATATATTGAATTAATATTTATTTAGATGAAAGATCAATAATGTCGTTTTTCAACAGGGGACATAACTTAATAAACTGAACTTGAAAAGGTTCTTTTTGCACCAATGTTGGCCTGATGATGGCGCTCCAGATGAAACAGCATTTTTCCTAAGATGGAAAAATACTCGCTGATGTTTGTTCACGTGTTAATGTTTGTGTTAACTTTGTTGAAGTTGAAGATTTATATGCATCTTTAGCATCATTGACTCTATAACATCTGAACTAATTCACCCTGACATCAGTTACCTGGCTGACGTGTTCACGAAGTGCATGTAAGAGGCGATCAGGACTCCGAGCCGTCCTTTACCTCCCTGTGGAGAACAGACACATCAGATCAGGACAGGAACACTTTTACATGCAGTTTAAATATTTGCTGAAGAACGAGATAAGTTCACCCTGCAGTGTATAACCAGCAAATGCTTCACGTTCGCCTGCAGCCAGTTCTCCATCGTCCTACACACACTGAAAATCTGATCCAAGCTGGGAGCCAAGTGATCCACCCAATCTGTGTCCAGAACCTGACACACAAAACACACACTCTGTGTTTTATGATACTCTGAAGTATAAACTTCCATCAGTAAACGCTGTAATTACCTTATGGTTCATCTGTGTGAGGCTGTTATTCTTCTGTGATACGTTAATGAGCTGAAAAGACAAAGAGTTGGAAAACATTTGAGTTTGATTGTAAAAGTGTCAACAATCAGAGAAATACATTTCTATTTTTATTATTAATTCTCAATTCACCTGCAACCGAATCATCATCTAAGGGTCGCAAATGTAAAAAGAACTGGAAGAAGAATTGAATGTAAAGTAAAACATATCATAGAATCTATAATATAATATAATATAGAGAAGCAATATAATCTCTGTTGGTTTTTGGTAATGATCTATATTAATATGGCATTTAAGTCAAGTCAAAGTTTATTTATAAAGCATTTAACTATAAACTCTAAGAAAAGATATACATATATAAAGACAGATGTGTTGTTTTCAGTTTCTTATGACAGTATCTTGTTTTTTTTCAGATCACATCACGATCAGGCCCAGTGGTGCTTTTACCATGTAGTTGTGTCCGTGCTTGGACTGCAGCATGAGAATGATCTCCTGCAGGCTCCTCAGGTACGTGTCCTCTGCACAGTAAGGAGGGCAGAACAACGTGATGATGCGTTCAGTGACGTAGGTCAGGTTGACTCGCAGCGGTTCCTCCATGACTTATTTTAGTCACACTGTAAAGACACAGGAAGTGAAATGCTGGGTCAGCGTCCTGGAAAGTTTAGAGAAGTGACAACTTTCACTCAGTGATCGGATGCAAATGCAGTCAACCACTTTAAATCCCAAAATCCTTTTACTGGATGTGATGCTGAAACAAAACTGAGTTCAAGGCCAAAAAAAGAAAAAGATGAACTGAATCTAATGCTTAGTCACAGGAACCCCCCCACCAAACACACCCACACACAAACACACACACACACCCACACCCACACACACACGCACACACTCGTGATCAGGGCGGTGATGATGATGAGTCAGAGAAGAACGATTTACCCCCCAAACACAAGATCACAACCTCATCAGCACAAAACCACTGAACTAAAACACAGAAAATCACAAGTACAGAAAAACAAACTGTCAAAACACGACTCAGGGATAAAGTGTGGCTTTAATTTCAGTTTAAAAAATGAATGGCCCTGTACTCCCTGTTATTTTGTTTTATTTGTCTATATCATTTATTTTAATATTTAATTGCTTTATGTAATATTGTCCAGGTTCATCTTGGTTGAAAAGGGGTAGAGGAGCCATTAAAAGAACTTTCAAAACGAACATCATCCTCCAGCACGACTTCACTTCTCCCGTTGTTTCAGCTCAGTTCATTATTAAAACTTCTCCAATGACTGTTTGACCAATTAAAGCAGGAAAGAAGAGGATTTACCTAAACCTGGAAAAATAAAAGAAGCTCTTACTACCAGAGCATGAGAAGAGTCGTGTCTATTATTTAGACCTTGAAACGTAAAAAGTTTTATTCTAAACTCGAGACGCCTCTCGCTCTTTCTTTTTTCTTTTTCTCAGAATCTAATCTGAGATCCTGAAGAATTTCCTCCCACATTCCTGTGTGAAGCGTGGGACGGGTGATTCTGTGGTTCCGTGTCAGCATGTGGACGGAGCATTTACACGCGTGTTGGTGCATGTCTATGAGCGGGAGATCAACCAACGGTGGAGCACAGAGAGAAAGGGTTAACTTGACCATGTGACCACGTGATTGGGCCAGAGCGACGCAGCACGACTGAAAACACACGGCACCTCAGGTTAAAGCCAATCACGACTTCCTGTTTCATTCCTTAATTAATCTTCATTGGTTCACATTTAGAATAATTGAACCTCTCTGATCATAACTGAAATAAAAAAAAATTCAAACTGATCAAAATGTTCGATTTTTTCAATTTGGGTCAGTTGTGACTAGTTTCTTGTATATTTATATAATTGTGTGTTCTTAAGCTCCACAAATGTGAAGCCAAAACATCTTGATTGCCCCCTGGTGGCTGGCTACAGTATAGGCCATAAATCCCTCCTCCTTCATGTTAGCAGATGGGCGTTAGTGGAGACCCGTCGGCCATCTTTGTTTACAGGTTTTTACTGTATCCACAAATTAATTTCCTAATGAGAAAATGTAACACTTGAGTTTTGCTTGATTATTGTTTCTATCATTTATCCGTTCATGAAATCAACATATAAAGAAAAACACAAAAGGCTGAATTGTTCATAACTGTTTACAAAAGCTTTTTGGTTCTATCCATATTCTTTATATACAGTCTATGGTTCTATCGTACAGTAAATGTTTGTACCTTTAAAGTTAAAAACACAGTCCGACCTTTTCCCTATTCGTTAACTAACAACATGGGTGTTACAACATAAAGCAGCCAATTGTTTGAGGCCCTGAGCCAAGAGGGGGCCCCTGAGAACTGCTAACTACCCCCTTAAATTCTGTGATGGTCAGAAACCCGATCCCTCGCCAGCTTCCCACCAAAGTTCAGTTCTGTCAAACCAGAGGTTCTGCCGCCGAGGAGCGAACCAGAAATCTGCAGCTCGGCTTGTGCCACCCAGACCTCTCCGTCAGCACGGTTTAACAATATCCACACACGTGCTCCTGCTGGGACTCTGGTTTGTGTGTGTGTGTGTTCTCGCTGCAACAGGCTTGAACAAACAATCTTAATAAGCGACTACTCTCCAATTATGTATCGCTGGTCTTGTTTTTAAAACTGCTGTGATCTAAATTCGTCAGTGCTCCGCCTGTGGAACCAAAACAAACCCAAGTGTGTGACCCAACAACCCATGCACACACACACACACATTGTGTACACCCATGTTGCTGTAGTCCTTGAGTTTAAGGAGCCGTCACTTAATTCCACTGACAAATTGTTTGAAATTGAAAGTGTTTGTGCAAAACACCAGAAGTGAAATTGGCGCTCGTCATCCTCAGGGTTCCTGTTCTGTTATCTCCATTTAGATCCTCTGCTTTTTTTATCAGAGTAGCATAATAATCCCCCTCTGGACCATCTGATCCTCACTCAGGCTCCTTATTGAGTTACACATCATAGACGTTCAATTGAATCCACCAGCAGAGTGAGGTCATCTCATTTTGTTCTTCTTTTTATTTCTGGGATCTCTCAATTGTTTCATTTTCTTATGCTATCAGTTTCACCTTCATGTTTATTCGTTTCAGGGAATTGTTGCAGGAGGTTCATTTGCATTGGTAATAAGTGGAATTATCTCACCACCAGTGGCTCAGTTGTTCACTTGTCCTTAAAAAAACAGGTTTTTAAGTCTTAAATGACATTTTATTAGATGGACTGAATCCCAGTGGAACTAATTCTCCTGAGATTCAGTGTTTTGGGTCATGTGACAGTAAAAAAAAAAAAAAAATTAAATAAATAAATAAGCAATTCAAGAAACATAAAGGATATGAACAAAACACACACAAATAAAAAACATTAAGATTTAAAACCTGTCTCCTTCCTGAATGTATCTGCAGAGAAACATCATCCATCACATGCTCCTTTATTTACCAACTGTGACTGTAAGCTAGTAGTGAGATTAGCTTTATATGTAGGCCTATTTGTGCCTGTGAAAGAATAAAAAAGATAAAAACTAAATCAAAGTTGTGGGTTTAAAAATTACAATGTTCAATCATTATTTTGAGATTCCAAGTTATTTTTGAGATATGACGTCACTAAATTTTTAGTCACTAACTCTTAACAAAATTTGATTTAGAAAGTAGTTGTCCTACTGTACTAAGTAATCATTGTGAGATAGTAAGTCATTAACAAAATAATCAGCACCGGAAACATTCAAGGGCGAAGCAGCTTCGCGTTCAGTCGTGCAGTTTGATTCCACTTGGCTGAAAAGGCATGGAGGCTCTGCAGGGAGCAGATTATCATGCATTCAAACTTTTACAGTAAATCACAGAGAAAACACACACACATCTGAATTTACAACAGAAAAGCTCTTACCTCGACTGGCTGTTAATGTCAGGATCACAGCTCTGAGAAGGCTGATGAGTGAAAGTGTGTGTGAGTGGTATAAAAACACGAGGTGGAGACTTGACAGAGGGGGAGGAGGAGGAAGAGAAAGAGAGAGAGAGCATGATAACTGTTACAGGCTGCACTTTGCCCTCTGTTGGACTGTAGTGTGACAGCAGTCCACCCTGTTTGTGCACAGAAGAAAGTGATAAGGACGGAAACACACACGACATACTGACACCTCACACACACTCGTCAGCTCACACAGGAGACGACTGAACTTTTAATGTCATGGAAGCGAAAAGACCTAAAACAAACTGTCATGTTTTATATTTCAGCCCCTCGTGTGATTAAATACTTTAATCATACATCGGATTTGTATGATATTAGTTTGATTTCAGAGGCAAATGCTGTACAACTCTACTTTTTACTGAATAAATTAGTAGGTGTCATTCATATAATTATGCTGAAGTCTATAATATAAATGTATACATTTCTAAACAACTGAGAAAGTAATACAGTCATAATAATAATATATCTTCAGACCATAGCTGCCATAGCAATACATTTTTTGTTGTTGATTTTTTCAATCTCATTTCACTGGTGGTGTGTTTAATTTGAACCAGTAGGGGACACTAGAGGACGGTTTAAATCTCCTCTGTGTTCACTGATAAAAACAAATACACTGATCACTCACTGTTTGTTGAATCGACTATCACAGGAGGATCAGCTCATCACGATTGTGTTTTAAAATAATCATCTTTAAATCTGACTGTTGAGATCGATGATAAACTTACTGCAATTTACACCATTTAAACTCATAATTCATAACTTATCAAAGTTGTGAACGACTGAGAATCAAATGAAACGATCCAACATTGTGATGATAAATATTCTGTTTGTTGATAATATTTAAATCTTACTCCAACATGTTCAGCTTTTGAAAATGATTTGAGACTTAAATTATTCTCGGTAGGTTTTATATCAAACCCACACTTTGGTTAAAATACTTCTTCTTTTGCCATGTTGTACAAAGTGGACATTTCCTTATTTTAATCAAGAATACTTTATTTCATTGTTCACATTTCCTCCTGCTCAATAATACTTCCTTGTCTTCCACCCTGTATGTGGTGCTTAGTCTGTGGATATTCTGTCTTCCAGGTCATATCCAGGTTCTAAAAACAGGTCGAGCTTCAAGAAACTCAACCAAGTCCAGTTGACCTGTTTTTATCACTTAGATATTTGAAGTTTATTGTTTTGTATTCGTCTTTTATTTGATTTGAACTCAGGGTGGTTATTGTTATTGAATTAATTGGACATGAGTTTGCTTCACACTAACTTTCACGTGTGTATTTTTTTACTTGTATACTTTGAGTACACTGCACTTTCATACTTTTATGTTGAGTCAAGAGGTTGAATCAATGTGTACTTTTACTGGAGTCGGTTTTTTTGTGAGTATTTGTACTTTTGCCTCCTCTCAGAATAAAACACCGTCGTGGTCAATATTTCCGAACATTGTGGTGACCCGTGAACGCGTCATAATTCATATCCAATGAGACCCCGCCCTGTCCACCGTGTGTAGCCGCGGACTGTCGCTCCCTGTCCGGGTTGTTCAGCAGCGGCGGCGCCTTCTCAGCGTCCCCCCTCCATGGAGAGCGACTAGATAAGAAAACAACCCCTTCTCCTCGGGTCGAGCCGCCGGTTAGCTCCCGCGTGAGAGCTGACGGGCTCGGTGTGACACGGGATGATGTAGCGGAGAAACTCCTCTGGAAGAACTGCGCAGCACATTAGCATGCTAGGCTAACGCGGAGGAGAAACTAGCCGGGGAGCTAACGGCGGCCAACGTTCACCTGCGGGCTGCCGCCGCCTGACCGACGGGATGGAAAGTGTGAAGGAAAGCGGCTCTGGAGCGGCTTCGGGCCCGCCAGCACCACAGGGGATGGTCGAGTCGACCAGTGACACTGGCTCCGGGAAGCCCAGTGGATTGACGCCGCTATCCGCCGGGAAGAGACCTTCCATCGGGGAGGATGACGGAGGCGGCGCAGAGGCGAAACTCTTCGGGAAGGGACTCGCGGCCACCTCCCTCCTCCAGATCGCGATCAGGAACGGGATCTATCAGAACCAAGTTGCCAACGCTATCGGCGGTGCGGCCAAAACTATGACCATGCCCGCGGTGAAGACAGCCAACATCTACAGCCTGACGTCCGCCAACAGCAGCACTTCTGTCAACTCTTTGCTGAGCCGGAGGCGGCAGCGGCACAAGCGGAACCTGTCGCTGGGCGCTCCGCCGACCAGCAGCGGCTCGGCCGGGGCGCCGTCCGCGGAGGCGCCCGTTCCCGCTCCCTCCGCCTCGCCGCTGAGCACCCTCAGCCTGGACAGGAGGACGTTTCTCCGGCAGAAGCAGTCCAAGCAGCTCCAGGCCTCGGATAAGACCTGGGTGAGATCGGACCTCCGGCGGGGCTGCGTTCACGTCCACGACTGGCTCACGCCCTCCTACCCGCGCCCGGTGCTGTGCACGGTGGACACCACGGCTAAAGAGGTGGCCTGTAAGCTGGAGGGGAGCAAAGCTGGAGCCGTGCTGAAGATTAACTGCAAAACCGCTGCTTTAGTGGATTTAAATGACAACTGCAGGGACAGTAACGAGAACCTCCGTGACTCGGTGGACGTCAGGAACCTCAGAGCCGATGAGAATGAGCACATGAAACATTATTTTCCTGATTCTAAACTGTCGGAGGATAAAACAGCCAGTAACTCTTCCTCTGAGGTGTATCTGGATGATGTCGGGCTGGAACTGAGTCTGAGTGTGGCGGACTGTTACGGGCTCTACTCCGGCTCAGACATGGAGGGCAGCACCTGTGAGGACCTCAGCCCGGGGGGCCCCAGGAGCACCGAGCACCGGGACTCCCTCAGCGATGGCCTGGGCCTGGGCACCGACTCCTCCGTCCTGAGCACAAACTGTGACAGTGCCCCGGAGGGTCCCGACCCCTTCGAGAGCTCCTCGGATGAAGTCGATCTCGCCTCCTCTCCGACCCACTCACCCGGGGACTCTGCCACAGACCAGCAGGGAGACCCGGCCTCTGCCGCAGACCCCTCCAACCCAGTGACAAGACCGGATCATGACATTGAAACTGCACCTGGGGAAAATACAGATCCCCCACAATTAATCAAACCTCCCTCTAAGTGCCCCAGCAGCTCTCAGTCGAGGCCCCTGACCAGCCAAGCATCTGTGCAGCCTGACCCGGAGACCCCCGGGGGGAGCAGGGCATGGCCAGAGCCCATCAACACCAGTCCGACCCCGGCCCTCTTTGTGCAGCTGCACGGCGGAGCTGTGCGGCGGCTGGGGGACGAGGAGAGGCCTCTGCAGATATTAAACCAGTACCTCTCTAATCTGGGGTATGAGGATGCTTGCAGGGTGCAGGAGGAGGGCATGAATCCGGAAATTGGCTGCCTCATACGTTTCTACTTTGGTGAGTATTTGCCTTTAAGTCAAAAGTTAAATCATCTTTTATTTTCAGACAGAAAAGAAGACAGGCAGGTCGCTTCAAGATCTTGGCTCACAAAAGGAACATTTTAAATATAGCTGTCAACGAGCCCCTCATGGCTGCAAGCTGCACCATGTCATTTTCATTGTGCTCTGCTTGTCTCTGCTCATTCATTGTTCATCCATCCTCAGTGTACCGTGAGTGCTGTCATTGTGTTTGGTCAGTGGGACTGTTAAACCAGTGTATGCAATTGTCCTGTGGGGACAATACCCAGTGTTTTGTGTGCGGAGCCCTGTAGGGAGACACATCTGGAGGTAACAGGTGTGATCTTTGAACACACCACACACCAGGAGCCATAAAGGATTCAGTTTCTCTTGTTGTTGTTATTGATAATGATCCTGTTTTTCTGACAAGCAGCATAAGAGGATGTAGAAACAGCCGGGATCTCTTATGGGATTAGCACAACTAGATATTGTTTTTGACCTTGTTTTTACACCCTCAGCAAAGATGGTGGGGGGGGGTACAGAGCCAGGAGCTAATGGCCTGACATCAAATTACATATTCTAGGATTATTCTTTTTCTTTTATTCCTCCTGTGTTATTTAGATTTGTTACAACAAGAAACCATTAACCCAGAGAAAGACTCGAGAAGGACTGCAGCTAGTGATTCATTTCATCCACCCTTCCATTGTCTATACCACAACCCATAGATATTCATTTAAAGATTTATTATGTGACAATTATTCATGAAAATGTCTTAAATACAAATATATATATATATATATATATATATACATACACAGTTTTATTCAAGCTAACAGGATGTTTCATTTTTGCCTTTTAATTGCGATATTAAGATAATTAAGGGAACTTCTCAAGTTCCTTTTTCTTTTTCGAGTCTATTAATTGACTGACTGCTGTTCAGCTGAACTCAAGACATAGAACAAACACGCTGAAACAAGATTTCACAGTAAGCTGGATGAATTCCCCCGCCTTCATCTCACCCCCTTCCACCACACTCAGCTCCCACAGTAACGTGACAGAGGAACAAAGCATGTAGAGTTACGTCACTGGAAGCAGGAGCTCCTCCAGCTACAGCCGTGAAACAGGCATCGAGGGGCTAGTGTGTGTGACGGGGAGGTGGAAGTGCTACTGACATGATGGGAAGTGTCACAGAGAAGTGGTGAAATGATATTAAGAAGAAATCTCCAGTTAAATTAGAATAATTGAGCTCAAAATCTCCCCCTGGAAATTTTCTAAAGTTTGAAAGTGAAGCAAAGTTAAACTCACAGCCCCTGGTTGAGTGATTTATTTCTTTATTCTGACTTTCATTTTGAAAGAGAGGAAGTAAAACTGTCCATTAATTCACAGGACAGTGTTTTGTCCTGCACTCCTCTGTCCCATCAGCATGCACAGTTTTGTTAATGTTGATGCTTGGAGTCGAGCCAGGGGAGTTGAACTAAGCAAAAATCCCACAGAGAAAGTATTCTCTGTCTTTTAAACACACACACACACACACACACACACACACACACACACACACACACACACACAATGACACCATGCTGACAGTGAGAGTAAAGCGACCTTAGTGGAACTCAGATTTCACCACCTCAGTGTTACAGATCTCTCTCACAGACACTCGCAGCAGCAGACGCCTCTTCATCCTGGAGCTGCAGCAGCTGGAGGTCACTGCTTTTACTTTACAAGGTTGAAACCAGAAAAACTGGTATTTTACATGTGTCCAAAGCTTCCTGACGACAGGAAGACTTAATAATGGTCCTAATGGGGCTGCCATCACAAGGCAATTTTATTCATATATCACCGACAACAAGAAGACAATTCAATCTGTTTAGATAGAGTTTAAAATAGTAAATTCATAAAGATCTGCTGTAGTAGAATGAAAAAGAATAAACACAGTGCAGGATATGGATAAAATGATATTAATGTAATTCAATAATTTCAGTGCCATTCAGAAAACTCTCTATCCCTGGTATAAAAGAATCGGAGCAGAGTTTGTTCCAGATATTTGGGATTTCACCTCCAGACACTTTCAGGAATTTGTCAAGGACAAGATGCTCCAAACAGTTTTATCGTAGCATGAACAGGAAATGTCTACCGGCTGCTCGCTGAGAGACAGGATGTTCCACATTGAGAGAAATGGGCGGAAGGAAGGGGCATGTGTAACACGCTTGGCCTCGCCCAGGGAAGGGTGGACTTGCACAATACACAGTCCACGTAATTGTTTATTTTAAAGTTGTTTGAAAGAATGAGATTGATCTCATATTGCAAGGTTACGTCACATTTATGAAATCAGACACCACATGATGTCACCCATCTTTTCCTAACGGTTAAATATAAACGTTGTATGAAATCAGAAATGGTCACACATATCGACACCATCTATGTGGAGGTTCTTTACTTATGTTTGTTTATGGTTACTGAAATCTTCATCCATGTCTTAACGTTCAGTCCTCACTGTTTCTGTTCGTACTCCATGTTTGTTCAGAGCTCAGAAAAGGAACTTTTCTTGTGGGCAGTTTTGTGGAATTCAGTTTTTGCTTTATCCTGCTGACAAACAAAAGGACAGGGCTGAAAACACGACCTGTTTGGCCGAGGAGGTTATGATGTTCTTCATTGAGCAGGTGTAGACAGTGTTCAGGCGTTTCTTCTTCTTCTTCTTCTTCTTATGTTAATTTAAAAGAGAAAAATAACAAAAACCTTTTTTCATTTAACGAAAAAAATCGAAAATGTTTTTAGCAGCTGAACTTTGACCAGGTGAGTTACGCGTTAAATTTGATAATGATTTAAATCTGGAACTATATGATCAGAGAATAAACCACTAGACACTGGATCTGACTCTGGTGTTCAACAACAGCTTTCTAGACATCTCATCTACTGAGGTCCGATGCTCCGTGCACTCAGAGTGAGTTCGTTTGTCCCGCTGAAACCTTAGTGACTTGAGGAGGAGGCAGCAGGAGGATCTAGGTGCTGATGTTATAAGACATTGCATAACAAGCTAATCTGATTTCAGGCCTCACACTGGCTCAGACTCTTCATGTGTCACGTTTCTCCCTTGTTCTACGCTGAACACACAGAACACAGTTTTATAAGACAACAGTTTTTATGAGCTGGCGTCGAGCACACAGTGCAGGGTATTCGCCACGAGCTCAATCAGCTCGCTGCATTTCCTTGTGTGTGTCGGTGAACTGTGGCTGCTCTTTGTGCCAGCGATGTAACAAATCACGCCTGAGTGGCTGCTCACTCTCAGCCCACAGGCCATTAACCAAAATTCCCTTACATAACCACTCTGTTGCTCTCGCTGTCTGACAGAGAGACCCCGTGTGAGCGAGTTCATTCACAAAATTCCACACAGCTAAAAATAAATCTGTGCTGTGCAAAGAACCCAACAACACAATAACAGTTAAAATAATCACCACGCTCGAGTTCGACATCTATCGCATTAACATCGTACGTTTTTCTTTCTGCAGGTAAGCCTCGCAGCGTGGGCGGCTCTGAGCGTGTGCAGCTCTCAGGGGTGTTCAACGTGCGGAAAGGGAAGCTTGCTCTGCCGGTGAACCGCTGGTCAAGGCGTCAGGTCACGCTGAGTGGAACCTGCCTCATTGTCTCGTCTGTGAAACACGCCCACACTGGCAAGATGCACATCCTCCCGCTCATCGGAGGAAAGGTACTCGATGAAATGTTTTTGTGTCTTTAACGTGCAAAGACGAGAAGCTGTTTGTCGTTTATCCTTAATGGAGACATATGATGTTTTTTCAGTGTTTCTTCCCTCTATTGTTTGAGTTTTGTGAATGTGAAAGTTTTGAAGAGTTAAAAAGCACAAAGTCTGAGAAAACACTGAAGCTCGGTTTTTGTGGAAGAAATCTCGGAGGTAGATGACACGGGTGTGAATACGTGGTTAATACTTCTAAATATGCTTAATGCTACGGTCTCTGTTTCTGCTGTCTGCATTAGCTGCTTCTAACAACCAGTCATTCGCTTCACTCGCTCAAGTTAAAAATACCTGAACCCAAAATAAATGTGTGATACGACGTCAAGTGAAAGCCAGTCAGCGTTGAGAGTGAAGCTCACTCTGTCATTCGGTTGATTAGACAAACAAAGAGAGTTGAAAGAAAAGATGGAGGAAACTAAAGCATGAGCTGTGCTGTGCTGCAGGTGGAGGAGGTGAGGAGACACAGTCACTGTCTGGCTTTCAGCTCAGCTGGTCCTCAGAGTCAGACGTACTACATCAGCTACGACTCCTACACGGAGCATCTCCGCTGGCACAGGGCGGCCTCAAAGGTACGTCATCTCTTGTACTATCTGTGTCCTTGTGTGCTGCTCCAGTCTTGACATTTATATTGACACAACTTCAGGGTTAATGTGTCATGATGATAACGTCAGTGTTTTACGCCCCTGCCTCTTTTGAACTCATCGTGGCAACCTGCTCACCCTTTGCTGTGTCAGATTGCGTCGCAGAGGGTGAACTCAGTCGACCTCTCGTGCTGCAGCCTGGAGGAGCTGCCTGCTCAGCTGTTTTACAGCCAGGACCTCACCCACCTCAATCTCAAAAACAACTTCATGTCCCCTCACAAAGGTGTTCCAGCACTCACCAGGTGAGTTTGTGTCATCAGCACACACCACACTCTGACACTAAACTACAAACCTGTGTGCACAGCAACACGAGGAGCCGGCATCCTCTCTGTTGGATGTGGGAACGTCCCTCGGTGGTTCTCTTCGTGCGGGGGACTTACATATTAAAAGAGGAAGCAGATAAGATCAAATTGCAGCTGACGTGAGTGTGGGTGTGTCTGTGGTTCTGATGATAAAAAAACAAAAAACAGCTACTGTCACGTTAAGAGATTCGCTGTTTTCATCTTCATATGTCAAATTAGTCGCTGACGACACAGATTTATAAAAAGAAGTTAGTTTCCATCCACAAAGTCAGCGAAATGGAAAATTTAAATCTTTTGAAAGTGGTGTTTTCTAAAGCGGTTCATTCTTTCTCTGACTGTTAAAATACAAGTGCAAAGTGCGTTACGTGATTGACACAGGATTAAAACATTTCAGGATTTAGGCAAATAAAATCATGGAATAAAATAATACGCAACACACAAACAATGTAAATACTACATTAAAACAAAAACAATAACAATAAAGTAATGATAAAAAAAACATTGTAGGTAATGAAATGTTGTAATAGGATTGAGCCTTTTTAAAAAAAGATATGTTTCAAGAAGTGATTTGAAAGTTGTCACTGATTCTGCAGCTTCTGCCCGAGGATCTGAGGCTCCGCTCATTGTGACGCATCTTGAAGTTTTAGAAACAGATTATGAAACAGACACTAACCGGTTTGTCTGTCCCTCTTCTGACCAGATGTTGGCTGTGATGCACAGTCTGCAGACAGAGGAGGAGGAAGGGATTTGTCTGTTTTACACATGCATTTTAAAGTTCAGCTCTGTGCGTATGTCTAAGAATCGCTGGTCTGTTCATTTCGATTCCCACTCGAAATATTACAGATCAGAGAGATAAACTCAGACTATTTACTCGATCAGACAAGTGTATGTTTAACCTTTTTAAAGCTGACAGCAACCTGTCGAACAGTTTTACATTATGTTTTACATATACACAACATACACACAGACGTGGTGGCTGAGATGATTTCAAGATGAGAAACATTTTTATTTCTGTAGCTTTTATTTAGCTTGATTTTGGCATCTTTGCTGCCACTTTATGAACAAAATGTTGAAGCCTTTTTTTTGATGGAAGTGACTTATTTATAATTATTCGTGTGTACACTTCCATTGTCTCTTCACATACACACTTTTCCTCTGCAGTGTCTTGAGGAATGTGTTTGTGCTGCACTGTCCCCGTGACTTTCCCTCGGAAGGACGTGGGTCTGGTTTAGCCTTTCACCCTGACCCTTCTGTGAACTGGATTAGGTTAGGTGTGGAAAGCCAGGACAAAACACACACACACACACACACACACACACACACA